ACACAAGCCAAACCCAGAAGTAGGTGCGCAGCCAGCCACAGCCGTCGTCGCCGTTGTCACAGCGCTCTCTTCCTCCTCGCTCGCGCGATCTCGTACACCCCGGCTCGATCCACATGTAACTGGCGTCGTCTCGATCGCTAAATAAAACAACACCCAAAAAGCGGTGTCGACAACGACATCCTAGCAAAGCGCACCAACGCAAGACGTCACTCGAGAGGCTGAGCCCCGCGCGAGGGGGGCTACGGCGCACTCATACTCGATCTTTTAACGGACTGAGCTTCTCGCGCCCGTTAAAATATCTAGTTTTTTCCAAGAGTTCGGTCAAGTGTTTGTTTGCTCGCACGACTACCTAAAGAGCTGTGCAATGCACAAGGTTGAACGCATGTCTAAACTTTGTCCAAACGAGCGGAGACGGCAGAACTGGGAGATTGTACCATAGCTCTAGTCTGATACTGATCGGGGCCACGTCAACGACGAAACGGATCCATAAAATGGAACTGCGCCGAGTGACCCATGTAATCAACTCCCTTCTACTGCCGCTCGATCAGACAAGGTTAAGACATGGGTTTAAACGTTGTGCATTACACAGCTTCATTCATGTCACAAAAATAATAAATAAAAGCCTAGGGGCATGATTTCTCTACCAACACCAACTCAAAAATGAAACAAGCCTTAAGGAACGGACATCGAGTACGCATCGCAAACCGAAGATTGCTTGGCACCGAATTAGTCCCCGCCCTTTCCGAGGTGTGTGTCAGACAGAGGATCAACACACGACAGAGAGAGACGAACTTGTTTTTTTCGAGAGGATACCATTTCACGGGTATGAAAAAAAGACCTACAAACACCAGTATCGTCGTTGCACGGAGCTCGACCAATCTTCCCGGGTTGACGATCCATCCTGCCGAGTGAAGAGAGTGAGGAGATCGTGGGTTGTGAGAGAGCGGGGGTGGTGTTCATGGAAGCAATGGCGCGGTCTGCAGACAGCGGGTAAAAAAATACTCCGTGTATGGATACCAGGATGTTCAAGAATATTTTATCCTTCCGATCTTCGCCCATAAAATACCCCGTTTTCAAAGCTTTTAACCTCGTGTGTGGGAAGGATGGCTTCGTTGAACACGCGAAACCACAAACTGCTGCAACACTTCGAGTAAACACACCAAAGAGGGGGCCGTGGAGCAGGACAAGATGTGTACAGCAGTAGATGTGAGCCGTTAAGCTTTGTTTTCTGTCCGCAACGTGTGTTCTATTCAACCATCACATCACACCCAAACGGGGCCAGGCTGTGGATCTCCAGGCCAGTGTATACGCGTAGCCCTACTCCCAAAGCTATGTAGTCTATAGGAGAAGGCGTGCGCGATTTAGGTCGAAACACGAGGCGTGTGAGAGAAGAGAGAGAGAGAGAGAGAGAGAGAGAGAGAGAGAGAGAGAGAGAAGATCGAATGCCACTCTCCCCACCTGTGCGCAAGGTAGTCCCCAGCGAACAATCAGGCTCAGCTGGGTGGTTGTGGGAGGATCTTGTGCTGTTGCGTGATGTGGGTGGGCAGAGGGTGGAAGAGTGGGTGTGTGGGAAGTGGTGAAGATCCGGGGGAAGGGTAAGAGTGGGTGTGTGGGAAGTGGTGAAGACCCGGGGTATCGTAGATTGATTATTGGAGGTACACAGTATGATTTTACGGAGCCCCACTCATTTTTCCGAAACTCACTTTACGCCATGGCCAAGGACACAAAAGAGTGGTGTGCGACGCAAACAAGAGCGGCACACCAAGACAGCCGGAAGCGGTGGCCAAAGATCCCTATCTGCCGACAGTGTTCCGGCCGGACGTCCCAACCGGTTCTTAATACGATGATGGATACTTCGCTATGGTCGCGAAGTATCCGGAGGGCACGGGCTGTTTGTTCCGGCCGGACGTCCCAACCGGTTCTTAATACGATGATGGATACTTCGCTATGGTCGCGAAGTATCCGGAGGGCACGGGCTGTCATGACCGGGGATCCGAACAGACCTATAATGTTCCCCCGGTCCAGCCTGTTGGAAGGGTTCAGGGCATGTCCCCTGACCCCCGGGATTGCACCGCCTCCCTCGGCGTGCTTTCCCGATCAACACCCAGGTGGTTAGTTACCACCGCCGATCACGCGAGAGAAACTGAGCCATATCCTTGCCCTGTGCCTGACCAACTGCCAACCCTTGTGAGTGCTGAGCCTGATATGCTGATTACGGAGCTTATGAGGAACCCTGTGACTGCTGTTGGACGTCGCCAATCACCGCTTGAAGTCGTGCCACCATTGCTTGATTGTTCTGCATGATCGATCTCCACAGACATGGCTTATGCTCTGTGCTCAGGTGAGAGGTATCTGTCCTGATTAAAAGAGAGATATAACCACGTCTGGAAGACGTTTCCGTTTCTCTAAGTTTCACCCTCCGGTCGGGTGCCTCCAACAACAAAAAATATCCACGTTGTGTGCGGCCGGACCTTCTGATCTAGGGCCTTCTGCATCTAGAGAAGACGATGTCCACACCTGAACCTACACCTGTGCCAGGTGAAGTCCAGCACTTGATGTAGCAGCGTGCTTCGGTGCGCATCGCCCGGGCAGTTCGACGTTTGGTATCCTGTTGAAAGGCGCATCTAGGAGTTCCAACTTCCGGGATAGGAGTCTGTCCCCGCTGCGAATCGATTTTCTCCCCTTCCAAGCAAAGCCGTCCATACACTAACCGTCTCTTGCACTCTCCAATTCCCCAACTAATGGACAGATCCCGACTGCAATACAAACAACGACCCCCAGGCCACGCACTGCCAGCAACGACTGTAGTTTCCTGATTTGCACGCCTTCGGATTTCCAATGGAGCCTGGGAGCACTTACTTGAGATCGTGACACAGAGCCAGTGGTCCCTACTGTAGTCAGATCATGCTGCGAGTACGTTGAAGTGGGCGGCATCGGTCGGAAGGAGGCACATGTACCCGCTGCTTCACAAGATAGGTGTGTGATGCACGTTTCTCTTTTTCACGCCACTCCGTCCAAGAAGTGTGTGTGCATCGCTTGTGGACCTGGCCGCACCCATCCCGGCCTGCCCGGCAGGAACATGGCCTTACACCTTCGTTTCCTTTTCCCCCATCTCACCCTCTTGTCGGGTCGCTCCGCCGATGATTACATTTCAACGTGTGCGGCCGGGCCTCATTCATCCAGTCGAGGCGGAGTACACACCTGCCCCTACATCTGCGACAGGTGCAATGCTTGTTAGGTGTTGGAGAGCGCATGTGTTGACAACACTTTGTACGCACTGCATGTTATCTCTTCTCGAATGCACAAGACGCAACCAGGGAGTCCCATGACGAGGGATCTGTCCCAGTTGCACGTTTTTTCTCTCGCTTTCGACAATGAGACGCGTTTCCCGCTCGTTCGCATTTATTAGCTTCGGAGTGAGGAACACAACTTTCCCCTGGCCAACGAATGTGAAACTCGGCCGGATGACTTCTAATACAGGGAACGAGACTTGTGGCGTGTACACGGACATCGAAGGGATCGTCGGTACCAATTACATGAGCACCGTGTGCTGCCCGGTAAGGATTTTGTGCATGGGTTGTGACATGATGTGCGAGGACTAACGCCTGACGTGGTATTCTCTGCATTCGGCATTAATAGCGTCCCAAACATGAACGCTCGCGCTGTTGATTTGTTGTCGTGAATACAAGTAACATCCTGCCCCCGGCATCACTCAAGCTCCCCCGTGCAACCCCTGCCAACAGGTTGGATGCGGGAAGTGTGGTGGTGCCGGATGCGGCGCGAACAAGCCGGACGGACTGGGCGTGTCGGATTGCTGTATCAGGCGCCTCATTATCACCAACAGTATATTGCTCTGAGACAGGCACCGCCCGGTGCATCATCGACGTTAGGCTACATTGCCGAACGCCACGGGCTAGAGTTTGAGTCGTATGCGACGCCAAGTGTCACAACGTGTCTATTAACCATTCGATGGCTGTAAAAAAGCGTGAATACGACTGTACTCTTTGACATCGCATATTGCACGTACTTGCAAAAGCCTCCACTGTGTCGGAGTACGTCGAAGAAACTATTTCCTGCTCTCTCGCCTGTCGATATCGTGGATTAGCCAATGCCCCCTTGTTAGGGCACGCTTCGTGTATGATGTTCAGCTTCTCCCTGTCTGGATCTCCACCCAGCGGTGTGTGTACCACACCTTGTGCGTTTTCGGGTGCACCAGTACGCTCCCTTTCTCTTTCCTCCACGTCACCGTTCTAGGGGAATGGGGATGGCAATGAGTGATGACTACTTTGTACGATAACGATGGTCGGGGCGATGACTGCGAAGAGGTTGGTGATGAAGACGACCGAGTCTCCTCCGTTGTTACAGACGCGAACGAGGAAGCGGACACGCAGGATGAAGGCTCCGAGGTATGTTCGCGGATGGTGCCACGGACGACGTGCCAGTCAATGGGGCATGTGACACACCAGCCTCATACCACTTTGTTCTCCACTTTGATTGCCGTAACATGTACACTACAGTTTGCGCTGGTTTCGTCCACGGGGTTCATACCAGTTGCGGTTTACTATTCAACTTGTCTCTACATTTTTTCACTGTATGTTGCTTGACGGCGTCCCCCGGTTGGTCCCTACGCTCTGGGCGGATTTTCTCCACCAATTGCGATGCGGTGGTGGTTACATTCTAACAGGATACGGCAGCGGCGCCCGCCGCCCGCTTCCGCTCGGGCGGCCTCTACACCGCCGCCGCCGCCATCGCCGTCGGTGCTGCAAGCTTCGCAGCGCAGCTGCTGTCCGGGCTATGAGAATAATCTGAGCGGCTCTGGCCTCGTCGTGAGCCTGAGAAGCGATGAGTCAAGTCAACAGAGTGCCAATCGATGTGGATTCAACCTGAGGTCATTGCCCAGTCGATTAACGGGTGGACAGTCCGAGGCCGTGATCGGATTTTTGCTAATTGGTCTACATACGGTGGACAAAAGAGTTTCATTGGTCGAGGTTTGTGCCATTGCTTCTTGTGTTGTGCGTTTCTTCGAGAGCGGTGCAGTCATCATGGTGGTTGTGATCTACGTAGACGGCATATTTCCTTTCGAGGTGCGACCAGTTTGGTTTGACGTTATCCGGGATGTGTCCATTTCCGATCTTGAAAAACTGCCCTGATACACCGATTGCCGGCTTTCTGGTGGGGGCGGCGAATATTTCGCAGCACGAAGCTTGAGCATGCTAACGCCGGCGAGGCCGATGTCGAAGCCTCGTTCCGGGCACAGTTGGGACAGTAGATCTAGCTGACGAATCAGGCTCACCCGGATATTCTCAATGCGATGCGGGCGGTTGTGGCGAGGTTTTCGCACGCACCGACACGGCAGTGCGTTTTAACAGGCGTACCAGCGTGACCTGACCGATGTAGTACGCTGTGGTTGGCTTGTGTGACAAGAGGCGTGGGCAGAGACACACAGAATGGTTGATTATCCACACACAGACGCCCAAGCTGTCTTCACCTGACGGTTACAGGCTTCGAACACGCCTTCACAATACTGTATCAAACATATCCAGCAGAATGGAGTCGGTCTTGCACTTCAAATATCCTAACATGACCTCTCAAGAGCAATGCCATTCTGATTCATGAGACGCGAATCTTCTACCAGTCAGTGTCCTCCCAAAACAATGCCAATGTCCTCTCAACAACATTCATGAGTACTTCCTCTATCAACTCAAAACAAAATAAAGTAATATCTGATTTCAAGTAGGGGAGATGACTACTCTCCTAGAAGCGAGAGGCGGTTCTTGAGAAACCTCGCCGCGCCCCAAGCTCTTTGTCAGCATGTCTGCCCTCTGAAAGTCGGTTCCGATCTTCGTTAGGTTCCCTACCTTGTCAGCAATGAGAGACCTAACGTGGTGGAACTTAACATCAATGTGTGTAGTGCTTTGCGTCAACTTGTTAGTCTTGCTCGTCGAAATGGCACAACAACTATCCTCAAACAACACCGTAGCCTCCTGCCCCCGGTTGATAGTCTTGAGTAGGTGGCGCCAGTGAAGGATCATGGTGCATGCCTTTTACATTGCAACGTGCTCCGCCTCGGCCGACTATAGAGCCGTCACCGTTTGCTTCACGGCCGTCGAGTTCACCGCTCCACCTGCGAGTATCAAAACAACCCCAGTCGTCGATTTCCTGTCGTCTACAACACATCATCATCTGCGAAATCAGATTCGACGTACGGGGCCAGTTTGGCTCCGCCTTTGGAGTCCCCGCTGTACGTTATCCCCATCGAGGTTGTCCCTTTCAGGTACCGCATCTGCCGCTTCAGGTTAGCCCACACCTTAGGTCCGGGCTTGGCCATGCTCTTGGTGAGCACCAGCACCGTGTGGGCGATGTCAGGCCTCGATCCCCTGCAAATGTAGAGAACCGAACCCGTGGCATACCGGAACTTCGTAGTTTCCTTCTGCGACAGCGTCTCCTCCACTGTGCTCATCGACTCACCCTCAGCCGGTGTCTTCGTCGGGTGTACGTCGATCATGCCGAACGTAGCACGCACGGCCTTGGTGTGTGCTTCCAGCGTCAAGAGAACAGTGCCTGCATCGAGGTTGCGCTAGATGGGCATTCCCAGGATAAACTTCGCATCTCCCAAGTCCACCGTTTCAAACCGCTCCTACATCTGTTCGATTACAGTCGACACGAGTTCCTCGTTGTTGGTCCCCGTAAGCAGGACGTCGTCCACGTAGACGCGGAGAAATACTTCCCCCGCGTGCAGCACGTACAAACACGGGTCGGCAGTGCTCGGGACGAAGCCTAGCTCCAGTAAGAACTGGTGAAATGCCCCGTTCTAGCCCTTCGGGGAGAGGCGTGAAACACGTCATGGTCGTTAAGCGATTGTTGTTCGTTGCCCATGCTTGCTTTCCAGCGTTCGGCATCCGGTCCACTCACCGCTTCATCGTTGTTGGAGGGGTCGGCAGGCATGAACCCCACCTCACCGGGACGTCCAATCCCGATGTTGTCGAATTCGCTTCCCGTCATCAGGGCATGTTCGATCTTCTCGTACGCCTCCTCCGTCGAAAGCAGGTTCATCCTCTGCGGCGGCACGGAGGCCCTGTCGCTCCGGCGTGCGAATGGCTTCTTCAGCCAGCATTTGAGTAACGGATTCTTAGGACCAGCATCCGAGTCAGCGCGGTGGGTGTTCTCCACTTTCCCCGTTGGGTTCTCTCTCGAATCGTGCCGTCCTGGATTCCGCTGTTTTGCAGACAAAGCTTTCGGGTCTGCGTAGAGAGTCGACAGGCTTGTCCGCGCAGATACGAGCCGAAAGAAAGACAAGTGTTGTCACAAATAGCCGCCCTGTTGGGGGCGGTCGGACCTGGTATCGTATCGCGTGCCAAACCGAACAGGTTCATTGATTCAGCAGATTGGAAGTTTCAACATCCCACATAGCCTATGATTCTTGCGAGGGGAAAGCCGTGGGAGGCAGCCGGTGTCATTTGAAGCTACATTACAAACAACATTGTGCCACATCGCCGGCACGTCGATTGTTTGGTTGACTGGCTCCAGCATGCCACACTGTGTACGCACTCACCGTTGTTTCCTTCTTTTAGACTGAGAAGACCTCCGCCCGGACCCGATCTGTTCCTCAAAATCTCTTCACCAGCTCCGGGCAAAGATCCAATTTCCCAAAGATTAACTAACATCCGCAACGTCGGCGCAGAATGGCGCGGCGCGTCAAGAACTGATGCCAACGGAACGCATCGGTGGCCACCTCTTGTAGCATACCCACGGGAACAAACAGCGTTGGCGCCGATGGAAACCATGGTGATATGGGTGGCCTCTTCTACCGCTTGGTAGGTTATTGTCGTACGCCTTGTGCAAGCAAGACGCACGCCCCGTCACCTCACTCACCTGATCCTCGGTGCACACGGCCCTTCCAGGAGGCGCGGCGAGCCTCGTTGCTTCGTTCTTCCTCCCATGGTGTACCTGTGTTTTGGATGTTGACCTCCACCTGACCTCTCCTTTGCCACGGGAGAGAGAGAGAGACTTTGTAAGCACACGTATCCTACCGCGTAGGAGCCACCCCAGCAGGCGATTCTGAGGGTAGTTTGCTGGGTCTTGGAAACTCTCCATTTCATTGTCAGTTCATAGAAGTCGGTGGGCGTTGGGAAGTCGTTGAAAAGTCCAGCGCCGTTGCCACGGAAGTTGTTGTGGATTTCTCCGTGGGGTTCGTACACTTGTGGCATCCACGGCGCAGCGTGGTTCCGTGGAAATCCAACCGTTACACCTAAAGGGCCAGGTCATGGGTTCGAGTCCCGGCAGAGAAAATCATTTTTCACAAAATAAATCCTGGTCTAAAGTGGAAATTTTCAAGGACCCGATTTTGGTTGTCCCTCCATAACTTTTGACTGAGAGCGAGTTGAAGAAAAAGAACAACAGCTTCGGAATGCCCGCGGCAGGGCGCAAAAGAGCAGCGAGTCGCCAAAAACAAAAGGAAAAAAAGAGAAAAAAGAGAAAAAAGAGAAAAAAAGATGCTCGCGGCGGGTCTCGAACCCACGAAATTGGCCCTGGAGTAACTTTTCCCCCATATATGTTGCTAATCCTTTTTTTTTTTTTCGCACCAAACCACCCACACGTGCACAGGAACGCCCTCAAACACTATGCAAATGCCTCTACCGCACCAATAGCGTACATACATCACAAAAATTGGCCGTTCTCAATAAAATTGTTCCATTTTTGTACAACATTCCCACCAGAAACACGGAAAAAAACTGAACAAATACNGCTCGCGGCGGGTCTCGAACCCACGAAATTGGCACTAGAGCAACTTTTCCCCATATATGTTGCTAATCCTTTTTTTTTTTTTCGCACCAAACCACCCACACGTGCACAGGAACGCCCTCAAACACTATGCAAATGCCTCTACCGCACCAATAGCGTACATACATCACAAAAATTGGCCGTTCTCAATAAAATTGTTCCATTTTTGTACAACATTCCCACCAGAAACACGGANCGCCTCTGGTCGTCGTTGGCTGCAAATACAAACAAGAAACCGACAATTTAGGGGCGGCAGATGTGGCGCTGTCAACATGTGTGACTAAATTTAAAGTCCCACAATTGAATTGCGAGCAAGGTTAATGTTCGCGCCCGGAATTTACACCTAAATTATCGAACCCGCTTTGCTCCGTTTAAAACTAACCTCGAAATATGCTCTCGTCCTAGTAGAGAAGCATGGCCCGCCTCCCGTCAGCACCCGAGCTTTCATCTCCGCCCCTTTCGCACGCCTAATCTTCTTTGCAGCTTGATATGTGCTGTACGTGCCCTTGTTCAGGTATCTCCTCTTCGCCTCCTCGGGCCACTCGGGTTCGAACTCTATCCACGCCCGCACGACTTCTTCCAGACTGCTTGCAGAGAGGTTGAATGCCCCAGGAACGGCCTCCTCTAGTTCCTGCCGAAGTGTCAACGCACGCATCCGCCGGGCCGCCCTCCCCAACTTTCCAAAGGGCCGCCCACTGTAGTCCCGTTGTCCACCCCAATTTGGATCTCGCGATCTTTGCGCGCCTGCGAGACCGGGTTCTTGTAGTGAACCAACGGCTGGCGCTGCGGCTCGAACTGCGGGTGCTGTTGAATCCCGCGGTGGTGCTCTCTGCACCGGGGCGTACGCTGAGTTCTTGAGTTGAACGGCATCCCAGTCAGCAGCAGTCACCTCGTCTATGATGATTCCCTCCGCGACGGCGTCGCGGCCGCGTGGCTTCCCAGACGTGATCCAGCGGCTCCGCCATTTCAACTCAGTATCGTTGGCTCGCGACCTTGAGTGCAGCACTAACCGATACTTTCGTGGCTTCTGTCTCTCGATGCTGAGCTCGTCGCGCAGCGTGTATCCGTCGGGATCCAGCTGCTGCAGGCAGGAGACCCTCTCTTGGTCGAGTTCCATTTGGTTGCCGGTCTTCACAACAACATGTGTACACCTACCGGCGGCGGTGTGCGACGCGGCACAAGCGGTGGTTCGGCCGCGATTTTTTTGAAATTTGAAACTTGGTTTATTTCTGTCTAGGGCCTGGCAAAAAAGAATTCTGAACCAGGTGATTTAGAACCAGTTTGTTTCAAGGATTCCCAAAATATCTAAATTAAACCAGCAACTACTGTCAACATGACATATTGCGCCGTGTTCCCTGTGCAGGCCACATGTAAATGTACCTACGCAGATGTTTTTGTGCTAAGCACCAACTGGTATCACTGATATAAATCATCAGTGTATAGGCTTAAACAAACTCGAAATAAGTCAAGTACCCAGCTGGTTTTCCTCTACTCACTGTAAAGACTTCAACACATCCCCTTCGAGTGTAGTTATACCTCGAACGGGTAGTCTTTCTGTGTGTATATTTGTTTCTCCTAATATATATATATTTTTCACAGCGGTGGTGGGGGCACGACAAGTCGTGATTTACCGGTTCCGCCGCGTTTTTGGTGAAACGGTATACTCGGCATAACTCGTCACCAAGGTGTCTGTGAAAGCTAAAATTGGGTTCATTCGAAAGCCCTGGTTCATAGCTTTCGAATGGTTTTTTTTTTGTTGGGTAAATAACCAGGCCCTAGAGAGAAATTTATCAAGTGGCCTGTGGGCGGGTCCAGGAAAACTACCACTTTAGGATGAAAGCGACGCGCTGCAAAGCTCGTATGTTAGTAAGCCATAATCGACTTCGTAAGTCGCGAGGGAAGGGATTGCTGTACCCTCCTCGCGATAAAAATACGTCAGGCATGAACCGCAGGAGGGGGTCCGACCCCCCCCTCCTATGTGACCCCGGTTGGGTCGTCTAGCTAGAAGAAGTGGAAGATAGGGGCCAGAGGGGCAGACGACAGAGTCCAATGATGGGAGAAAAACAACCTAAACCAGGGGTTGGTTGATGTTGAAAATTCAATGCTGACCGTTTGTTTTTTTTCAACGTGAAGAGTGAAACTCCGGGGCTCAGCAACACGGAATAGAGACGAGGCGACTGTAATCCACGTCGCGGAACACAAACCCACACATATTTCACGAATGCATCGGCTTGATTGCACACCACGCGTCGACACTCCTGGGACTCGCACGAGGAACATCTGAATGCATCCTCGTCCTGGCATGCTCGAAACAGATTGAGGATCGAATGTGTGTGTACAGACGCTCCCCGACACGAGAGAGATTTTACCTCCAAGGTTGGGGGGGGCATTCGTTGCCATTGCATTTACCCGACTTGCGGACACTTGTTACTCGCTGATTGAAGCTAGCACACAAATCACGTCACTCAAAAAACAGAGACACAAAAGCATCTTACTCAACAGGACAACAAATTGCTCTCGGCTTTTGTCCTGTTCCACCCCTTTTTGGTCAGACAGCACCAGCAAAGCCAATTTCCTCATCCACCCACCCACCCGCAAATCGTACAGTCGACGTGGAGACCAACGGTGGATTGCACGCAAATGTCCCTACCGAGGAAAAAGGGGAACTGGCGGGAAGCACGCGCTGATGATACTCGAACACTCGAGACTCAATGAAACAACGAGGCAACCAAACAGAACCATCGAACTTACTGTCTCCGTGGACAACTGGGGTACACAAGATTCACTCTTTGTTCAGGTATTTCACTCCTTGATCAAGTAATTCACTTGTTGGTCAAGCAACTCATTCCTTGTCAACCTTTACTCTAGCCATTGCGACCGACTGCTCCTCGGTGATTGATACCGCTCTTCGGCAAGAAGAACATACCCTAGCTCGCTCGAGCTTGTGCGCCTCCAGTGCAGGACACGTTCCTGTCTTGCTCTACGTAGATTTCCTGTGTTCGTCACCGTACGAAAAAAAACAATGCTGCGGACGGAAAATATCACTCCGCCGAGAGGCCAGAAACGCCTGCGTGAGCAAAAACCAACATCTACAGTAGATACCAATAACCGCTGCCATCCCCGCGGGGCGTTGCGTTCTTTCGTCAAGACCACGACGCGGTGCTAGTCTTCGCGCAACACACAGACGGCAGCCGAAAAAAAGAAAAGTCGCGAGCGAACAGCTTACGAAGCGTAAGAACCAACCACACAGCAGCAGCAGCAGCAGCAGCAGCAGCAGCAGCAGCAGCAGCGCCATTCCGTCGCCCACAATTAGCCCAAAATATCTGCCGAGAAATACGGATACAGAGACAACAACTACACACAACAAGGCGACTGATCAAGCAGGCGAAGAAGGGCTGCACCAGGGTCTCGAGGGCAGAGATATGTAGAACAACGACAGAAAGAAAATGGAAGAAAAAGAGGTGCAAATTCACACGAAGGCAAGGAGAGCCGCAACCGCGATTTCAAAACTAGTTTGCTTGCTCCCTATTGATCGTATCTACCATGGACAAAACTCTCGAGATGGACACGCGGAACACGTATTACAATACAACACAACACGTCGCTATTCTACGCAGATGGTCCAAAATGGCACGAAGGCAGCAAGACCATTCAACATGAAACCGGTGACGCCCTTTGCATGCCCCGAGACAAGGGGGAGAGCGAAGAGCACACACACGGACACAGCAGCACACCAGGTTGCAAACACACCCAGCAGCAGCTAAGGCGAGCACCAAAATGCCGCCAACGTCAACAAACGCAGTAGGTAAGACTTGAAAAGGCTGGGCAGCTTGTTCCAGCTCCAACACCCCCTTCTACACAGAAACAGAAACCGCCCTTACTCAGACACTACAGTAACAGCATGACCGGCGATATTCGACACGGCAGCAGCGGGAATAAACCCGTCACACAACAGAAGTGCGACGGACATGCTTTCTGCACAAGATCCAGCATCTCTGCTGCGCACCACTACTGCGCAACGACCGCAGAAAACAGTCAAAAGTCGACGCCCACTTCACGACGGCGCGGCCGAAGTACGAACGAAAGCATACACAAAAATTATTGTATGGTAACGCGTGTGACAAAACATGGTGAGATTCCTCGCTCCCTCTCCCCAACCCGATAAACAAACGATCACAACATCCAGTCTCGCCCCTCGGAACCAACAAAAAATAGAGTATGCTCAACGCTTTACAGCACCACAGCTTTCGCCCGAAGCACACAAAGTACAACGCGCGTGCATCGGGTGATCAAGAAAATGCCCCGGTCCCCTAGCCCCACCCTGCCTACTCCAAACATGCCTACAACGACTCCACCCATTTATTACCACCGCGGGAACCCTCGCCACTATCGACACGCACGTTGTCAAAAAAACAAAAAAAACACTCCCTTGAGAAACCTGAGCATGTACCATTCTTCGCACCGGCAGCGCGAGGCACAAAGATTTCGTCGGGGCGGGGACCGACGACGAAATGAATATCCCGCTCCGCTGTGTTCTAGCTAAAAGTCGAATTCGAACAGCTCCGGGTGCTCCTCCCTGCGGCACTCCCGCTGAAAAAAAAAACACGGTAGATATAACACGGATGTCAGGTCAGAAAAAGAAGCCGCAGCGGCGAGAGGGCGGAGAGGGTGTCGCTACAGCCGTGTGGAAACGGAATGACGCAGTAGAGGATGCGGACCAGCTGTTCTGCAGGTGAAACCGCGAACATCGTCGTCATCGTCAAAATACGCGTATCGCCAGCCACGAGGACAGCTGAAACCCCAAAGAACAGACAGCAGACGAAGCAAGCAAGCATCATCCGGACACGAGGCGGGGACAGGCCCGCTCTCTCCGACATCCTGCAGCAGTCGTCCGCACCTGCGTGATCCACGGGTGTGCCAGGATAGCCTTGGCCGTATACCGCTTCTCCCGGTCCTTGTTCAGCATGCCCAACACTAGGTCTTTCCCTGGCGCAATCGGATGGCAACGGAGCGTTGGTTTGACAGCAAAGGGCGGGGACACGGATGCACAGTAAAGATCTTCGGCGGGATACTCAGTAGTTGCTGTTGCCGAGACAGAACAGCAAGCAACGCCGCCGAAATCACGGACAAGATTAACCCTGACCACAAAATAGCGTGCGTGGGACACCGCATAGACCGGGAGGCCCACGTTGGATAACGGCATGTTCCGAGGGCTCATGCATACCTCACAGGACCAATACACCACCAGCGCCGGTGGCTACGCAAACGCGGATACGGCTACGACAGCCAACACTCAGGCAAGTAATCATCACGCAAAGCCGACCACCCACGCGACCAATATCCCCGACAAAAACGGCAAGAAATAACGCATCAGCAGGCACCGTCGACCCACGCCACTACACACAACCGACACAAAAACATATATATAACAACACAAAATCACACAAGGGCAGACAACGCCTACCCACACCACACAACAACTAGGACACGACAGCGAACACGGTACAGCAACAACTGCGACCATAACCGACTCACCATCCTCGGAGAAGTTGGCCCACACGGGGTCGTTCTGCCATGCGATCGCACCGTGGATCGTGTTCTCGATGATCTCCTGGATCCCATCGCAGCGGAACGAACGCAGGCAGGCAGGCAGTCAACAAACGAGTTTCGGCTGCTGGGGAAGACACCGAAAACGGCGATTCGTCTGTCTGTTGTCAGAAGCGTCTTGCCTACAAAAACACCAACGATAACCGTCGCTAACGATTATCGCACCCGCACAACCAGGTACATTTTCATGTGCACTGTAGACCAAAAACATGAAATCATCAACCACGTTCTTGGCGTGGGAAATGACGAAACAACCGCTGCCGTGTATGTGTGCTGTGAAGCACCGAAACATCGCCCCAGCTCGGAAAGCAGCAGCCCAGGTCGAATCTACCATGACGGTACTGTTAAGAAGAATGCACGACACGGTGTGCCAGGCAGTGGGGGGCATGAACCGCGTTAATTTGATTTCAAAAATCTATCTCCGGCGTACAGTAAACCCGCCGAGCAACGACGGTACCGGGCAACGGCGGCGGAATGCACAGGATAAGTCGTGAAGGACGAAGGACCAAAAACAACTCTCAAAATAAGACGAACAAGCGCTTGCTTATACGAAAATCAAGTCAAGTTCAAACTGTAAAACACGGCATCCAGCTTGTCTCAACTGCAGCCGCAACATCAACGACAGCGGAATCAAAAAGCGACAAAGGAATGCTCCACGTGACGCACGGATATTTCGTCAGCCCCGGCCGCAACATCAACAACAGCAGCATCAACAAAACAAAGGAAAAACGGCACGAATTTCTTGCAACCGCAGTTGCAACAACAACCATCAAAGCAGCATCACAACAGAACCAAAAGCCGCAACACCAACAAAAGCAACATCAAACAAAATCACACGCCGCAACAACACCAACAAAAGCAGCATCAATACAAAATCACATTTTTCACCTCTCGGGTCTCCCCGTCAAAAGGCAGGCGGCCCCTGAGCAGGAGGTACATGATGGTCCCCACGGACCAGATGTCGGCCTCCTTCCCGTAGCCATTGAGGGTCAGTACCTCCGGCGCCACGTAAGTGAGGGTACCGCAAGGCATCTTCATTATCTCGTCGGGCATCACCATCTGGAGAGAGGGAGAGACAAACACAGGAAGGACAAAAAAAATATATATATATACTTCGAAGTATACATATAATACTTGTATAATACGAGGTGTATGTGCCACGCAAAAACACACGCATACACAGATCAGTTCGGCAGTGTAGGGTAGGAAAAACCAAACGGGACCCAGAATCATCCGAGAAGCGTTGACAAATCATTCGGAAACCGCAACAAGCTAGCCCTCGATGAAGAGTCGCGGGTAGAAAGATCCGATGTGCGACACGCGATTGCCGTCCGGCTCTAAACAAAATGAATTGAGGAATGCGCAAGGGCACAGCAAACGTAACGATGGGTCCGAAACAGCACAACAGCCCAACGCACTTTCAACGGCCGAAATCGTCGTGCCAATTCCTTGCGCAAACGTCCAGCTTAGCCAGCTGCCTCGACTCGCTGACACCCTTTTCTTCCATCTACATGAGTTGCGCAGCTGCACCAGCGCACATGTGCACAGTATTCACACACCTTGCTGAGGCCGAAGTCGGCGATCTTGATGTCCTCGATGCGGTCGCCGCACAGAATATTCTCCGGCTTGAGGTCGCGGTGCACAATGCCCATCTCGTGGAGGTAAGCGACGCTCTCCACCAGCGGGTACATCACCGTGAACGCCTGGCGACCGGTCGGGCCACGAGGGGGATCAGAGGAGGCAAGTTTGTGGTAGGTGTGACGTGCCTTTTATCTACCGACCACCCCTCAGGGACACCACAAGAGTGAGTGACGTGTGTGTGTGCAGTGTCTTGAGCCTATCATAGACCCAAGATATGCGAGGAGTGAAATTTGGGTTGCGTGCTTTGAATAAACTGTCCGCCGCTGGCAAAAGGGACGACCCTAATGAGTCACCAAACACCACGGAAACCAGAGAAGAAAGGTTAGTGAAGTAAAGTGTGTTGAGTCTTCGATCGACCCAACCAGCCCCCAGGGACATCAGAGGAGTGAAGTGTATGATTGTGATATGTATTATTAATCGACTGACCACCCGCCGAGGACATCAGTGGAGTATAGCGTGGGAAAAGGAGTGAAGTGTGTGGTGCCTGTGTGACATGCCGATATCTGCTATCAGCCGATCGCCCACCGGGGAAACGAGAGGAGTGAAAAGCAAAGACGGAACGTACGGTTCCTGGAGATAGAGCGTTACGTGATACTTCACCAAGGTCGCGTAGTCAACAAATGTGCCTCCGTGTGTCTCCACACTTCCAAAACGAGCGGTGAGTGAACGCGCGAGTGTGTGTGTTCGCCTTCAAAAACTGTCGAAACGAGCAGTGAGTGATTTTGGCTCGTCCTTCTCTTCATATGTGCTTCTCTTCACAATAACAGAACAAATAACCAACATGTGTCTGTGTGCACGTGTGTGACCAATGAAAACACGGCATTCTCAAAGACGGCCAAAAACGACGCGCGGGTGTGAATATCGTCTCATCTATACTGGGTCAGCCCACACCCGTATATTTTCTGTGGGCATCAGCCGGGGTCACAATGGAGTGGGTAGGTCAACAAAGAAACATCTACTTCGTACATGTTTACAACACGCCGTAGTTTCCAATAATTGCGGCCATTCCTTTGATTGTCATGCTCCATCCTAGGGCATCCGAGGAACCAACTTTCTGTGGTGGTTTGAGTTCATGCCTCCAACAAAATATGGACGATACACAACACTCGTACGTGCTTGAGTTTCAACAAAAAGTAGGCGTTTCGTGTGGGTTCGGTGCGATGTCCTCAAGAGTGAAGAACGTGTTTCCTTGTCTTGCTGACCTCGTCTTCCGTAAACCTTGGACGGCCCACGATGCGGTCGAACAGCTCGCCCCCGGAGTGTAGCTGCATGACGATGAAGATGTCCTGACACAACGACACAACGGGACAGCATAACGACGAGAAACGAAACAAACTCACAAGTGCTCGAAATCACAGACCGTCCTCATCGCAAGAGAGCAGTTGAGGACGAACAACGCCACGAATACCACCTGCAGCAGCCGTGGGCCCTGTATAGGGCCGGCATGTGTCCCAAGATTTTGCAAAACCAAAACCGTACAACGGTAGTATTTCAGTGTGCACAACCACTTGGTACACCAGAGTGTGTGAGCCGAAAACACCGGCACCATACCGGACACCGGTGGCAGTTCAGTGTACAGAACGGCTTGGTATTTCAGTGTATACACCCGAACAATACGGGGCACCCGGCCACAATTCGACCGGCACCCAGCAGGGCGCACTACTGTAGCGGTAAATGACCCATTTTGCTGTTCCCAGGGTTCAACTAACCAAAAGAGAGACAACCCAGAGGGGAGACCGAGTCAAAAGGGTTCAGGCACGAGCTTCGTGGAGAGCTGTTTTTCCGAAGTATACGCCTAGAAAGCACGGGTAATCCAAATACGTGAACCAATACCCATATGCATAGGAGGGGTACACGAATAAATCACAAGAAAACAGGGTGCCAAAAATGTACCCTGACAAAATGGAACTGTGGGAGTTGGGAGGCTGTCTGCACATCGTCTCATGATGGTCAACCCCTCAAAAAAGTCCCGGAGGGACGGGGGGGATGGGGATACAACCCATGAGGCCGCCAAAATCACCATTAACCTCCCCTCTCCCACGCCTCCACCAGCTTGCGACGACCCGCCTGACCGTAGGCGTGTCGGATCGACGGACCGACCTTCTTGCTCTCGTAAACGGCCTCCATGCGGATGATGTTGGGGTGGTTGACGAGCCTCATGATGGCGATCTCCGCCCGCAGGAGGTCCTTCTCGTCCTGCTTCATGTCCTCCTTCATGATTATTTTCACGGCGTTGCGCTCCAGCGTGTGCTTGTTGACGCACCTGCTCTCGCATGTGCGTTCGTTCGCACGGTTAAGTCGCAGCCAAGATTTAGAAAGAGGGAGTTTCATACGTGAGGGAAGTCGATCAGGGTGGAGACGGATATTCCATACCATGACGAAGTCCATGAGCGTGTTGTATGGCAGTTGATTGGGGTGTTCGTACTGTTTGTTAATCGAAAACCGCAACCTCCACCTTCCGTCCGTGAGATCTACCTTCCGACGTGCGCCATCCCAAACGCGTTCCCTACCACTAGCCAAAAGTTGAACGTCTGAAACACAATAGGCAGCGACACAATTGCTTCCTCACGCCTAGCGCAGGCTGGGTTCGACTTGTATGCGTGTGGCAAGGCCGTTTCACTGCCTTGCGGCAGGACGATTCCTGCATCACATCCGGCTGCACGTTCTCGTGCCGGGCTAGATTCAGCACTCCCATTGAATAACCCCTAGTTATAGCAGCAGGTTGGGGTTCATAGCTCCTATGGTTAGGCTACAATTAGTCGCCACAAGGTTCCCTCAGTGTAAAGGGTTGTTGACCGGACTCTACACTGGTGCTCACGTTCCCATGTGTTGACTTATAACGTTGAGCATGAACTTCTTAAAACTACAACGTTTTTTCGGGCAGGCGTCAACAAAAACAACAACGACGACGACAACGCTTACATGCACACGCGGCTGAACCTCCCCTTGCCAAGCTCTTCCCCGATCTCGAAGTCATCCTGGCCGGCGATAGAGCGCAACGGCAACACAAGGTACACACATCAAGAGATGGCGTCGTTTGATTGGTCAGCCAGCTAGATCGGTCGACACTCCATCAAGAAACGCGAGCTACAACCAATACAGGAGAGGGCGCTAACAAACTCTGGAACGGCGGAGGGGGAAAAACGCCGAAGAACAACAAAACCACAATCCCGAAAACGTCAAGTCTACGAAAAGGACATGACAGCTGCTGTCATGAGCAGGCACAGGAACCAGGAGGTCATAGTAGCGCTATTTTGTGGCCCTCAACACAACCCGTCAGCAGACATGCACGACGGCGGCAGCAACAGCTCAGCTTTTGGTTACTACTCGTCATCATCACGCTCATCATCGTCAACATCATCACCGTCATCATCATATTTGCCATCGTGATCATCATGACGAATACCATCACCATCACCGTCACCGTCACCGTCGCTATTGCACCATCAATAACATCATCCATCTTAGTGAACATCATGACCGCACCTCGATGGGCACGACGGCGCTGGCTTTCCTCAGCTCCTTGACCCACTTGAGCTGCTCCACCTTCGATCGGGTATACCACCGTCGACGGTGCTTCTTCTGCACAAACAAAAATTGTTGAGAGAGATAGGGGGTAGAGGGGTGTTACGGCATTCCGGGTAAACCTCGTTCCAATTCGGTATGCTTACACGTATGTTGAGTATTCTCATTGGCCAGCCGAGTCGCCCAGTCCATGCTACATAAAGGCCCACAGACATACGCAAACAGATACCATGTCTGCCATTGGTCAGTCGGTTATCGCGGTCCATGCTAACTAAGAACACACACACATTGAATAGACCGCGTTCGTTCGCCTTCTTTACCCCGAAGCAACATTGGCGTATTTTCATTGGTCAGCCGGTTAGCGCGGTCGATGCGAAAAAAAAAACGCACACAAACACACACCTGTTCTCGGTTGCGGGAGATCTCGATCCCCCAATACCCCTTCCGCTCGTTGGCCACCTCCTGCAGAGGCTCTACGAAGGAACCCGTCAAGAACATGACCTTGCTGGGGTACACGTCCGCCTCGTGGTGGTAGTAGTAGATGCAGTTACCCACAAGCACGTACCTTTAACGTGTCGTCGAACAGAACGGTGCGGGGCGGGGGGGTACTCTTGTGCTTAGCATGCCTTAGCGGTTAGACCATTGACGACGTGTCCTCGAGAGGTCGGAGCATTGTTGCCTTGGGGTAGGAGTGTGTTGTAAGACTTGCACACGTGCGTAACCCCCACACACCACCAACAACAACGTGGCTCTTCTTCAATACGCTTGATGTAACAACCGCTTCATCAGCAGAAACCCCGTTTTCCCGGTATCCGCTTTCTAGGGACACGAGGGTTTACGCCTGCTACTACAGCTACGTACGAACAACCGTGAGCTGCCCCCTCCCAGTCTCTCTCTCTCTCTCTGTCTCTCTCTCTCTCTCTCTCTCTCTCTCTCTCTCTCTCTCACCATCGCTGTTTCCAGGTTTTCAGGCGGTATCCCTGCTTCCACAGGAAGCCCTGCTTCGCCACGGTCTGGTTCTGCATCACCTTTGCCGAGCGAGGGCTCAGCTTGCTCAGCAAGACGCTGGGAGCGTTCCCCGTCACCCCCTTGCGACCGCTGTTCGCCGGAGGGCCGTCGCCGTGCTGAGAATGGGCTGCGAATGAAGAAGAGAGANCTCTCTCTCTCTCTCTCTCTCTCTCTCTCTCTCTCTCTCTCTCTCTCTCTCTCTCTCTCTCTCTCACCATCGCTGTTTCCAGGTTTTCAGGCGGTATCCCTGCTTCCACAGGAAGCCCTGCTTCGCCACGGTCTGGTTCTGCATCACCTTTGCCGAGCGAGGGCTCAGCTTGCTCAGCAAGACGCTGGGAGCGTTCCCCGTCACCCCCTTGCGACCGCTGTTCGCCGGAGGGCCGTCGCCGTGCTGAGAATGGGCTGCGAATGAAGAAGAGAGAAACAGCGATGCGGGCAGACCGGGGGGGGTACCCATTATTTGCATGCCTAGTGGTTAGCCCATTGATATGGCGTCCTGGACATGACAGAGCATTGGTCCCACCATCGATGACAAAGCGTTCCTTCCTACTTTGCATAAGGTGGCTGAAAAATGTCTTCCCCATATATCAATGTTATCGATATCTTCCCGCCTCTTCAGCCCACGTCCAATGCCCCAGTATAGGTACAGTCTTCTCGTGGCTATTCCATGCCTCAAACATCCCTCNGGGGGGGGGGGGGGGGGGGGGGGGGGGGGGGGGGGGGGGGGGGGGTACCGGTGACCTTATCAAAGAATGCCTACACGAACATACGGATAGGATAGGCATCGACTACGTGAGGTATTGAAGCGCATGGCCGCCGCGAGTCCGTTTGGGGTCGCACATAGCAGTAGGTGTGACGGGTTACAACTGTCACACCTCCAGAACATACGTGACAAGGGCAGGGGGTGGGTGGGGGGCACCATCGTGGTCAGGGGGGACAGTTTTCGGGTGCTGCCGCCCGGAGGTTTCAATATTTATCCGGAGTTGCACGCTAAGAAGATTTGTACCTATACCGCGGAGAAGGACACTCATAGTAGGTCAACATCATGAGGGTGCTATGAGGCATACCACACAGGAAAAACACCCACCACACTCTCCGGATAATACCACACCCGGCAAGAAAATACATAGTGCAGATCAACACGTGCTAAACATAAAGCGCAAAATGCTCCCAGAAACAACACAAAGGTCATCGGCAATACCGCAGCAGTTCCCGCGTACGTAACTTTCACTCACCGTCTGGAGAAGCGGTCCCGTTCATAGAACACATGGACGCAACTGCAGGGAGCCCTTCCCCTCCCACGGCCGTCCCCGCCACCTGCGACAAGTGGTCGACGAAAAGGGACAGTGTTGGACGAAAAAAGAAGTAGGGCGTTCTTGACGTGTTGATCTCTTTGCTTTTGAAAACAGCTTCCACGTTTGTCTCTGAGCGCAATTCGCCACCTTATTTCTTTCCCGCCCTTCCGTCGTTTGCCATCGGGGTTGGTTTTCGGCGCTTGGCAGCGACGTTGAAAAACAAGCCGATCACTTCGTGAGCTCGGCAACCAGGTTACCGATTTTTTTTTACCTCTGCTGTTTTTTGTTGCGGTAACAATAATGTTCGAGTATATCATGTTGTGCGGGGTCGAGAACCCTCACTTTCGCGCAAAGGGGATGACAAAGTTGTGTTAAATTGGTTAAGCATTCTCGAGGCAATTTCACAGTGCCCATAACTGTCTCTGGAAATGAAAGCAGCAGAAAAATACATTAAGTCATACGCAGCTGTCATCCGTATGCAAGGAAGTAAGCACAAGATGCCGAACACCCTTGGCAGGATGCAGTGCACCCTCCATGCGACTCGCCGACTACCTCACGGTGCTTCACGCTTGGTGATGTGAGAGCCTGGTCCGGTGAGAACCCGGCGTGCTCCGTCCCGGCTTTGTAGGGATGCGAGGTCAATGGTCTAACGACTACGGCATGCACGACTGTGAGT